GCTCTTCAGCCACTGTAGTGTCATGCCAAGACAGGCCTAAAGTGGCATCTTCTGCTCAAACAGGCCCTTCTGTGACAATGATCATGAACATTCCCTTTATACGCCCTATACTAATGACCATGAAGCTGCATAGATCTGGTTATGTTAGTTGTCCTGGGGTTTCTAGTTTCTGAAGGTTACCATTAAACAGGCCCTTCTATGACAATGATCACGAAACACATGCCTAATAAAGTATGTATTCGGAGCAGGAAGAGGGGTGAAAAGAATGCAGTATCTGAGACTGTGGTTACTGACTATATTTAAAATCACAATTTCATGACTATTAAGGTTCATCTTAAACTTTTTCCTCTGATGTTTCATGGTGTCTAGGTCCAAGAAGACTCTTGCTCCCTACATCCCAGGACGTGCGGAACTGTCCATGGTTCTGAAAGACAAATTGGCAGGTCCCACCACTTTCATAAACGACATTCTTATTGTGGAAAACTGCACTAGTGAAAACTCTACATATGACTTTGTACATGCATCACTTACAAGGATTCAGCAATCCTTGGAAGGATGATGCAGACCCACAAAATATTCCCTTTATATGCCCTATATTAAAATTACAAAACAAAATCCAATTAGGCCACATTATGAGCTAGAAGTTTATCCTGAAAATTTAGATCAGAATGCAAAGAAAAGAAATCCAGCATTATGGTATGGACAAGAGAGAATAAAGATATATTTCAGCTAACTATATATCCCCTCAAAATGCTATCCTTTTTAACCTCACCTTAATTTAAATTTAACAAAGCATTTACTTTCATTTTTGTCTTTTGTTTATTTTATGTTTTTGTTTTCTTTTATCTTATATCTTCCAACCAGGATTTCCCCTTTTGCCTGAAGCATATTCTTCAGGACTCCCCTTAGTAAAGGTGTGTTTGTGTCAAATTGTCTATGTTTGGAAAAAATCCATTGAGACTTGATTTTTATATTATTATATTTTCATTTCTAAATGTTGTGTATTTGTCTTTTCAAATTTTCCTGAACATTATTTACAGTTTCTGATTAACTGAAAGTCCTTTAAAACCTGTTTTTAAATCACAGCAGGCGGTGCTATTTTATATACTATTCTTCCTATTCTGCTGTTTGGTGTTTCATGGTGACTTGTGTCTTCTTAACTGTTTTGTTGTTGTTTCCCTGTTAAGTGCTCACTTTGCTTATGAAATAATTTTATGAAATTTTAAAAGTGTGGATGATGGCATCTTCTTCCAGAGAGCATTTGGGTTTGTTTCATGTGTGAGTTTTGTTTTTTGACAGGTTCCTTGGAGTCTGGCCCACTAGAAACAGAATTCATGACTTGATGTGTTATGAAATTTTAAAAGTGTGGATGATGGCATCTTCTTCCAGAGAGCATTTGTGTTTGTTTTGTGTATGATTTTTGGTTATTGGCAGGTTCCTTGGAGTCTGGCCCACTAGAAACAGAATTCATGACTTGATGATTTTCAGACAATCCAGGTAAAGTGAACTTAGGCTGCAAATACATGTGAGGGGCCACTTGTGTTTACTCCCAGTTCCACACAGCACTAAGGCGGCTGTCCCTGCAGACCTTTGAGCATGGGGCATTTCCCTTACTTACACTGAGAAACTGACCTTAGGGGGTCCCAGAAAAATGGAGGAGATCGTCCTAAGAGACTTCCTACTTTGAGTGCTACTTAAGTTTTGCCTCCCATCCCAATGCCTTATATGGCCATGGACACCAAAGCTTACCTTGTCTACACTGAGCAAATGAACTCAGGACAAAAGTAAATCAGAGTTCCCTGATATTTATTAGGCAGTTTTCCTGATATGAAAGCCCTCAGTGCTTTTATAATGTATTTTATCTTGTGATAATCCATTTTTGTTTGCATGAGCGTGGGTGTGGATACCTAATGTACCACATTAGCGGTTCATACCTTATCCTTAAAGCTCGTTATCACAAACCTTCCGATCTTGTTCCTTTGGAGTCATTGAATATCTGAGCAAACTATTAGCCATTACCCATGCATTGATAAGGATCTAACAACAAGACATTGATTTAGGCCAAATGAACTTCCAGATGGTCTGATTGAAAAATCTATCTGCTGGAGGTACTGTCCCTTCCACTCTTCTTTATGACGATTCCTGAAAAGGGCTGTAATGCTGCAAAGTCCACTTTTGGGTATTCAAATCATATTTAAATTTATTTTTCTATAGTCAACAGTCCTTAGGGGACTCCTCAAGACCCCAAGGATGAGACAAGGGAGAGTGGATTTACCAGCAATAATAAGAATACTAGGAATATAGTACACATTATGAGGCAACTTAGCTGAAGACCTGTTCAAGTCTGACACTGTATGTTTATATGCTTTATATGTCCACTTCCTCCTGATGACTGAGTGCTGATGAACACAAGTGAATAAATAAAATCCAGGTCATGATGGACATCTCAAGTCATTTGGTCATTTGCTGTGTCATGATCAGGGCATTCAGAATCTACGAGGGCCCAGCAGCAAGCCAGGAACTGTTATTTAGTGGGAGAATAAAGAATAGAGCTTTTCTTCAAAGCCCTGGAACTTGGGCAGTGAGCTCCTATGCCTGTTTCACACACACACACACACACACACACACACACACACACATCAAAGGAAGCATTTAGGCCAAATGGCAGATATGCTTGATGCCTGCCTGGATCAGAATGACATTTCCATTTCTTATGGTACATTTTGCACTTGTACTAACTTAACAGATTTTGGTTCAGAGAAATTCCCTCACAAGCTAAGAAATCACAATTTTTCTTTGTTGAAATTATTTATCTACCTTAGGGTTTAATAACATCAGTGCGGTGATTTTTCAAAGAGCTTATACTCCAATCTTGGAGAAATTCTTTAAGTTGAAAAGCCCAGGACCTGAATAATGAGGGAGTCTCATTGCCAACAGCTTCCAACCAGCTGTAGGACTGAATGAAGGCACATGTGACTCCATGGTTTTAAGAGAGGGTAGAGGACATAGGCAGTGCTTGCTTCACACTTCACTGAGATACGTCCTTGGCCTCCATTCAAACTTAGCTGCAGTGTTGGTGGCTTGATTTACAGAGTCAGAAATTTCTCAGGTATGGAATGTGCTGTCTTAAATAGTAATGAGGCCAACCTATGTAGGGTGTCCTTCTTTATCATTGGGGGTTGTATAAAGTCAGTGATTTCTTTAGAAATTTGGGGTTACAAACACCAGGCCTCATCTTACTTCAATTTGAAAAGCCTGAGCAAGGAATCTCTGGTGCCTGGATCCTTATTTGTCTCACAAGATTGAATTGTGAGCTGTGACATTTTCTCCCAAAAGTCTCTTTCAGGACAGAACTTCCAGTAATGGCAACATGAAGACATAGATCAGCAAGTGTTCCTCTAAATAGCAACGTGAAAACTGGACAAAACACTAAAAATAAATATTTGAAGTCACTGGAAAACAAAGGCAAGCAGAAATGTGATAGAGCTTTGATCTTGGAAGATTACTCTATTGGGTAGAAACTGCAAGTTTGTGGCCTTTCCTCCTTACCTATGAGTTTGCTTCAACCTCTCAGCAGATAACTGCAGTACTATTGGCTCAAGAGGGCAGTTTATAGAGTTAAAAGCTCAAGTAAGCCAAAAATGTAAAAAGCAATTTTGAAACAGATCTGCTGAAGAATTCAGATTCAAAATCTGAATATAAGCTATGCCCACATCCTTGATTGAACACTTAACTCTCCGTGGGTGTGAGACACTCAGGGGAGCCTGGGGAAAAATCAGAGGGAATCCAGAGGGAGGTCTACCCTTGAAAGAGAGAAATAACCTTGGCAAGATCTGAAAGTCTGCAGTTACACGGACTGCTTGCATTTGTCAACCTGCACACAACACAGGCAGAAGAAAGCAAAAATCTTGCTGGACTGAGGGGTGAAAAGGCAGGATGTAGGGCCAACAGAACAGCTGGCAATTTAGAGGGGATTTCGGAGACAAAGCAAACACAGGGAAGTTGAATTCCAAAATTGAGTAGAAATAGCTCCAATACTTGTTACTCCATGTTGTGTTGCTATAAAGGAATACCCGAGACTGGGTAATTTATAAAGAAAAGAGATTTATTTGGCTCATGGATGTATAGGTTGTACAGACATGGCACCAGCATCTCTGCAGCTTCTGGTGAAACCTCAGGAGCCTTTTACTTGTGGTGGAAGGGGAATGGGAAGCAGACATGTCACATGGCAAAAAAGAAACAGGGCGAGAGGAGCCAGGTTCTTTTAAACAACTAACTCTCTTTCAAAATAATAGAGCAGGGGCCAGGCGTGGTGGCTCAGGCCTGTAATCTCGGCACTTCGCGGGCTGAGGTGGGCGGCTAATGAGGTCAGGAGTTCCAGACCAGCCTGGCCAATATGGTGAAACCCCATCTGTACTAAAAATACAAAAATTAGCTAGTGATGCAGGCCTGTAGTCCCAGCTATCCGAGAGACTGAGGCAGAAGAATCGCTTGAACCCAGGAGGCAGAGGTTGCATGAGCCGAGATTGCGCCACTGTACTCCAGTCTGGGCGACAGAGACTCAGTCTCAAAAAATTAAAAACAATAATAAGTCCCCTCCTGCGCTTCCCACAGTGCGGCCCGGGCGCGGTGCGGGGGCGGCGGCGGCAGCGGCGCGCTGGGAGGCGGGGAGGCAGGTGGGCCGGGCCGGACGCCCCCTGCGCCCACTCCCTGCGCCCCCTCCTCGCGCCCCGGCCAAGGGCAGAGCTCGCCGGCCCCGCAGCCTTCGGCCCGCCCACCGCCCACCGCCCACCGCCCACTGCCTTCCCCTGGACGCGGGACGCTGGCGCAGGCGGGGTCGCGCAGCGGGCTGCGGGGGCCGGGCGAAGTCAAAAGTCTATTTAAAAAGCAGAGTGAGGGTGCCTCGGCGTGTAAGTGGAGAGCTGAAGACCTGACCCTGGCGGTGGGAACACTGTCTGCCACTTCATCCAGGTCAAGCTGGACTCAGAGAATTTCAAGAGCTTGCTGGTTGGGTCAAGAGTGAATCTACGAATGCCGCCCTGCTGATCCTGGGTTTGTAGCCATCTTTTTTAACCTGCAAAGAAGCATTTCCCGACATTCTCTCATGTGTAGCTCTTGCCAACCTTTGGAGGATGTGAAGCCGGCAGAGAAATAAAGCGTCGCCCCTGTGTGCGTCCCTCCCCGCCTGCTAGAATGTTTCTCATGAACGCCCCTCCAGTGCTTGCTCTCCAGTCCAAATGGGAGGGCTTTGGCCTGCCAGGGAGCTTTAGGTTCCCCGGCTGCTTCTCGGAGGCTGACGAGGGCGTGGAGAGCGAGGCGGTGAGCGCCTGGGTGCAGATGCTCATCACCACGCTGCAGCGCGATGGGGCTGCTCGGCGCACCAGCGATGAGCTCGCCGCGCAGAGGGGCCACAGGGCGGAGGGATGCCACGACGCCAGGCCGGCGGCCAAGCCTCCCCCCCTCCTCCACCCGTGCACAAGGAGCCGCCAGACTTGGCTGCCTGTGGTCTTGTGGCTGACGTTGACCCCATGGGGGAGGAGGAAGCTGCAGACTTTGGCCCATTGGTGCTAGATTCAGACAGTGATGATTCCGTGGACCGGGACATTGAGGAGGCCTTCCAGGAGTACCTGAAGGCAAAGAGTGGTGCCACACAGCCCGGGTCCGGCAAGGTCCAGCCAGGCACAGCCCAGCAGCCTTCCAGGGCCTCAGGTGGAGGCAGTAGATGTAAGCCAGAACCGGCTCACAGCAGTGCCCCGACTGCCTTGGGTCCCCCAAAACCTGGCTCAGGCGGTGGCCCTGGCAGCCAGGTGGGATCCAGCCAGGACCAGGGCTCCGCCTCCCCGGTCAGCGTGAGCAGCGATGACTCCTTTGAGCAGGGCATCAGAGCGGAAATAGAACAGTTTCTAAACGAGAAGAGACAGCATGAGACCCAAAAATGTGATGGGTCAGTGGACAAGAAACCAGGCCCCAAAGAAAATTCGGCGGCCAAGTTACTCTTGAAATCCCACCAAGAGCCGGCCGCGAGGGTGGTGCATCGGCAGGGTCTGATGGGCACCCAGAATGAGCTCACCTTCCGCAGACCTCCGCGGTTAGCAAAGATAAACATGCAGCCCAGAAACCTCAGGTCCACGGTCACAACCACGCAGGAGCACGAGGGCAGCACAAAGCCAGCAGCCCCCTGCCACCCTTCAGAAGCAACGCAGAATCAAAGTGGGATGAAGAGGAGGGCCAGCGCCGCAAGGAGGGGAGGGCGAGCCCCGAGCGCTGCACAGGCGCCCGAGGCGTCCAACTCCAGCAGCGACCACGGCATCTAGGAGGCCATCCAGCTGTACCAGCTGCAGAAAACACGCAAGGAGGCGGACGGGGACCCGTCCCAGAGGGCCCAGCTCCGCGAGGAGAGGCAGCCTGACCCTCCCGCACACAGCACAACCAGTGCCACGAAAAATGCCTTGCCCGAGACCCACAGGAAAACACCCGGCAAGAAGAAGCCAGTGGCCGCCAAGACCACGGACCCTGGCCCCGGGGGGCTGGACACTGACCACTTCCCCAAGCTCCCGAAGGAAACCAAAGCTCCGCCTCCTGTGGGATCGGCTTCCAGGAGCGAGTTTGTGGAACGGTTCTTGTGCCGGGCAGACACGTCCACTGAGCTGATGTGCGCGGAAGCGATCCTGGACATTTCCAAGACGATGCTGCCGGCCCCGGTGAAGGGCAGCGACGGATCCCTGTCCGCGAGCCCACTTTTCCACTCCGCCAACGTGCCTTCCCACTCCGACGGCGACAGTAGCTCCATGGACAGCGACGACAGCATCGAACAGGAAATCCGGACGTTTTTGGCCCTCAAGGCGCAGTCGGGGAGTTTGCTGGCTAGAGGTGAGAGCTGCCCGCAGGTTGCCCAGGGCCCACTTTCACCGCCTGGCCCCAACGGCCAGACCAGCGGCCCCAAGGACCCTCTCTCTAAAACAGCCGACCCACTGCTGGGCTGCAAAAGGAAGCGTAGAGGTGGCGGCCACGTGAGACCATCCGTGCGCAAGAAAACACGGGAGGTGGTGAAAGACTGGGGCCGGGATGCCGACCACAGCCAGGGGAGAGCCGAGCCCGGCCATGAGGGCCGGGACCTGCCTGTCCAGGGCAAAGCCAGCTAGGCCCCGGGAGGGGAGGGCGCCGCTCGCCTGTAACAGAGCCAGGGTAAGACAGACGAGACGTGGCGCTTAGACGAGAAGAACTCCGAAGACAAAAGCAGCTCCCTGGACAGTGACGAGGACCTGGACACGGCCATCAAGGACTTGTTAAGGTCCAAGCGGAAGCTCAAGAAGCAGTGCAGGGAGCCCAGGGCGGCCTGCAGGAAGAAGGTCCGGTTCAGCACCAAGCAGGCGCACTTCTTGGAGCAGCTGGGCTGGCTCCGGAGAAACTGAGAGGACAGGAGGCCGCCGGTGCTCAAGAGCTGCCTCTCCAAGTCCAAGAGAGACGGCAGTGAGGGCCCCGCGAAGAAATCCCCCAGCGTCTTTGGCGGCACGGCAGAGACGACGAAGCAAGAGGGTGCCGGGAGCCAGGACACGCCCCCCCCCCCCCCCCCCCCCCCCGCCTTCCGGGTGCGGAGACCCGCCTCTGCCTCCACCTGCGCCTCTGCCTCCGAAGGGAATCCATTTCCCAGGGAGTCCCAGGGCTCAGCTCCCAGCCCAGGCTCCCTGTCTGATGACAGCAGTTCGGTGGACAGCGACGATAGCATCGAACTGGAGATTTGGAAGTTCTTGGCAGAAAAGGCCAAGGAGTCGGTGAGCAGTTCAGAAATTCAGGCAGAGGGCCCGGCTGCCCTCGGGACAGGGGGCCCAGCCAGGCCAGAGGTGCTGGGCAGGAAGGAGCCCGCCCAGCTGCCTGGCATGTGTACCCAGACCCAGAGGGCCAGGGGGGGTCCCACAGCCGGCAGAAGGGTCGAGAGGCACAGAGAGCTCAGGAGCGCAGGGTGCAGCTGGTCTGTTCGGCAGGGGCTGGAAGGGGCTCCCGGCTGCTCCCAGCCGGCCGAGGGGATCCAGCACCGCCCAGGAGCACCAGCATCTCTGCCAAGGGGCTGTCGCTGAGCAGGAAAAATGTTTACGTTCACAGAGACCAGAGCCCACGAGGGACCGAGCCTGCTGCCAAAAGTGCTTTTGGTTAGCTGCCCAGCTGTGCCACAGCGGGCACTGAGGCAGCAGGTGCAGGGCGGACCTTTCACATGGGCTGTGGGAGCCGGGGCTTCCTGACCCCCAGCCCGGGAGCTGAGGGGGACGCTCGAGCCCAGGCTGACCGTTCCCTGCTATGGAGCGACTTTGCCCATCAGAGTCGGCTGCCCAGCCTGTGGGCACTGCGCTCCGAAGGTAGAGATGCAGCACGAAGTGGGGGCATCGGGATCGAAAGAGCTAAGGGGTCCAAGGGCCCCGCCTGGGTCCTGCCCAGCCTACCCTTTGCCAGCTTCTTCCCACTGCTGTCCACCCAGCTCTTCCACTTTCGAAAGGGCGTCTCCTGGGGTGGGGGGGGGGAGCAAGGCAGGCCGGCCTCTTCAGCCCCCACCTGGGGCTGCCTCTGCAGGGCCAGTTCTTCTCGGCCTTCAGGGAGGCCCAGGCTGGGCCCATCCCTGTCTTTGGAAGCCCACACCTGCTGATGAAGAAGGACGGCGGGCCCTGGCCAAGCAGGAAGGTGCAGCCGGGGCTGAGTTTGCATGATAGGAGGAGCTCCGGCTTGGGGGACAGCTTTTTGGACCTGAGGTATCGGCGAAGGGTCATCAATAGGGATGAGCAGGACCAGGACGCCTTGGGCAGTGACGCCAGTGACTTCAGCGACACCTCTGGGGAGGACAGTGGAGGCAGCTCAGTAGTGAAGGTCTAAGCCCTCGAGCTGTGGATTCCGTCCTGGGTTCCGTGCATTTGTGGAAAGCGGCGCAGCCATGCCTGTGTCATGCGTGTGTCATGCTTGTGTTTGATGGTCTGTGGTTATTGGGAGGGGAGCAGGAGACTGTTATACATACCCCTGTATATACGTACACCAACATGTAACGATGCTTTTATTTAACAGACGCGTCCCGGTAAATATGATTTTTGTAGCTTTTTGTAAATTATTTAAAGTGATGTAAAAAATATTTTTGGAAAATCCTGTTGTTCAGTTTTGTAGGGTGTTCCTAACTGCAGTTTTCTGTGTTCTGCATTCAAGTCTTAGATTAGAAAACACTGGCTTCTTACCATCACAGCCAGGTTCCCAGAGACTCTGATGCTTTTTGGTCGGTTGCTGGTGAGAATGTCCGGCGGGGCTGCAGTGGTAGCCTGAAGGAGGCCGAGCTGCCCTCCCGGGAATCACTCAGATGCCCCAAGGTGTCCGTCGGGAAGCTCCCGGGACAGCACTTTTTATACAGAGGACACCAACCCCCACCTGGCCCCCCTGTCCTTGGAGGCCAGAGCACATCTGAAAACCGCAGTCACAGCCGTCGGTTGGAAAAAAGTTTTGAAGCACAATGGCCATCAAACCCGTGACCGCCCCCGTTGCATGTGAAATCCATGCTGATGTCAGTGCAGTGACTCTGCAGCCCAGCCCTGGGCCTGGGTGAGTTCATGTCCAATCTTGTTCAATCACTAGATGATTCTAACATCTAAATAAGCCTCTTTTATATGGAATAATAATAATAATAACATGGAGTGAAGAGAACTTACTCTTGACTGTGGGAGGGCACCAAGCCATTCATGAGGTTTCTACCCCCATGACCCAAGCAGCTCCCACTAGGACTCACCTCCAGCACTGGGGATTACATTTCAACATGAGACTTGGCAAGGACAGATATCCAAACCATATCAACCAACCACTAAATTACAAAGATGCAGAGTAGACACCCAGACCCCCTGCTGAAAATGCAGCAACTGGATATCGATAGAGCAGAGACATCAGCTGTAGCCAGCTGCAGAGGTAACAGATTTCAGTTACCAGTTCCAGGAAAATTAACTGCATTCCCTGAGGGGCAGGGGTGGTGGTGATGGGAGAATTGCAATCTTTTTTTTTTTTTCTCTCTCTGCTTTGTCCATGTTGAGAAGAGAATTGCAATCTTTGGAGAGATTGCTGTAGATTCCAGACTTTCTAAAATGAAACATATAATGTCCACTTTGTCAAATAGGATCAGACATAGGAAAAAAAGAAAGAAAATAATATGTGACTATCATAAGGAAGAAAATTAAAAATAAATGTGTTCCCAATGAGCCCTGATACTTAAATTATCACCAAACTCTTTAACACAGCTTTGAAAAATATATGGAAAGAAATGAAGAAAATATTTGAAGGAGACATCATTACTAAAGAGTGAATAGACAGGTAATTGGAGCAGAGAAATGAAAACTACAGAAAATACTAAGTGGAAATTCTCAAACTGAATTAAAAAGTAATGACAGTGCTCTGGATGAGGTCAACAGAAGTTTTGAGATGGCAGAATAAAGAATCAGTCAGTGCGCGGTGGCTCAAGCCTGTAATCCCAGCACTTTGGGAGGCCGAGGCGGGTGGATCACAAGGTCAACAGATCGAGACCATCCTGGTCAACATGGTGAAACCCCGTCTCTACTAAAAATACAAAAATTAGCTGGGCATGGTGGTGCGTGCCTGTAATCCCAGCTACTCAGGAGGCTGAGGCAGGAGAATCGCCTGAACCCAGGAGGCGGAGGTTGCGGTGAGCCGAGATTGTGCCATTGCACTCCAGCCTGGGTAACATGAGTGAAACTCCGACTCAAAATAAATAAATAAATAAATAAATAAATAAATAAATATAAACCAATAGAAATTATTTCATCTAAAAATAAAAAAGAGTGGGCCGGGCGCGGTGGCTCATGCCTGTAATCCCAGCACTTTGGGAGGCCGAGGTGGGTGGATCACAAGGTCAAGAGATCGAGACCAACCTGGTCAACATGGTGAAACCCCGTCTCTACTAAAAATACAAAAAATCAGCTGGGCATGGTGGCACGTGCCTGTAATCCCAGCTACTCAGGAGGCTGAGGCAGGAGAATTGCCTGAACCCAGGAGGCGCAGGCTGCGGTGAGCCGAGATCGTGCCATTGCACTCCAGTCTGGGTAACAAGAGCAAAACTCCGTCTCAAAAATAAATAAATAAATAAATAAATAAATAATAAAATAATAAAATAAAATAAATAAAAAATAAAAAAGAGTGAAATAAGATTAAAGAAAAGTGGAGAAAACCACACAAACCCTCAGAAAATATAAAGCAGGTAAACAGGTGACCAATTGCATAAGGTAGATTCACTGTGCAATTCCAGGGCAATATGCTGAGCTGAAAAACGGGCCTCAACTAATTCAACAGTGTAAAAGTCATCAGAGTATATTCTCTATTCTCTATAATAATACTAAATTAGAAATTAACACAAAGAAGATATTTTGGAAACACCAACTGTATGGAATGAAACCACATTTCTCTATGTAAATTAAGGGCCAAAGACAAAATCACAAGGAAAGAAAATATTTTGAATTGAATCATCACAAAAACAACATATCCAAGTTTGTGGAATGTAGCTCAAGCATTGCTCTGAGGGAAACACGAGGCTTTAAGTGCTTACATTAGACAGGAAGAAAGAGCCATGGTGGCTTGTATCTGTAATCTTTGGGAGGCTGAGGCAGGCTGATCGCCTGAGGCCAGGAATTCAAGACCAGCTTGGCCAACACGGTGAAACTCTGTCTCTGTTAAAAATATAAAAATTAGCCGGATGTAGTGGTAGGCACCTGTACTCCCAGCTACTTGGGAGGCTGAGGCAGGAGAATTGAACCCAGGAGGCAGAGGTTGCAGTGAGCTAAGATTGCTCCACTGCACTCCAGGCTGGGTGACAGAGCAAGACTGTCTCAAAAAATTAAAATAAATAAATAAATAAATAAATACCTAAAATCAGTTCCACTGTAGGAAACCAGAAGAAGAGCAAAATAAACCCAAAGTAAACAAAAAGAAAGAAATCATAAATGAGAAGAATCAAATAAATCAAGAGAGCAGGCAGCAACAGAGAAAACAGAGACAAAATTTGGTTCTTTGTTAAACTGACAAATCTCTAGTTCGATTGACAAGAAAAAAAAAAGGAGAGGACAAAATCACTAGTACCAGGAATGAAAAATGTATTATCACCACAGATCCTACACACATTAAAAGAATAATAAGGCCCCTCCTTCCTCACGGTTGGGATCTTGGGCCTGGCAGCAGGGCAGAGACTGTCTGAGGCGGGGAGCAGCTGCTTTAGGGGAGGGGGTGAGGGTGTCACCTGAGGATTCTCACAGCTGAGGGAAGAGGCGAAAAGCTGCTGTTGAGGGGAGTCGGGTTAAACCACCACCTGGAAGCACACTTGTTCAGGATCGCGGAGCGGGCTGAGTGAATTCCTAAGAAGAAAATAATGGATTGTATATTAGTTGTTCTCTAAGTGTTTGGACTCAACAGTGTGCAAGCTTGTTCAAAAGCCAAAAGAAGATGGCAACTCCTTATGTCCCAGTTCCTATGCCCATAGGAAACACTGCTTCCAGTTTTACAGACAACAGAAATCAAAGAAGTTCTTCTTTTGGCAGTGCCTCAACAAGCTCAAACTCTTCTAAAGGCCAGTTAGAAGACTCAAATATGGGTAATTTTAAACAGACAAGTGTTCCTGATCAAATGGAAAATACTTCATCTGTCTGTAGCAGTTCCCTCATTAGGACTAAATTTACAGGTGCAGCTTCTTCCACTGAGTATTCTACTAGAGGAAGAGAAACTGAAGAACAAAATCCTGAAACCGTGAATTTGGAAGATAGACCATCTACACCTACTATACTGGGTTATGATGTGATGGAAGAAAGAGCTAAATTTACTGTGTATGAAATACTAGTAAAGAAAACCCCAGAAGAAAGCTGGGTAGTTTTCAGAAGATACACTGACTTCTCCAGGCTTAATGACAAATTAAAAGAGATGTTTCCAGGTTTTCGACTAGCACTTCCTCCAAAACGCTGGTTTAAATACATGCCGGCTTCTTAGAAGATAGACAATTAGGATTGCAAGCTTTTCTTCAAAACTTAGTAGCTCACAAGGACATTGCCAACTGCCTTGCAGTGGGAGAATTTCTTTGTTTGGATGATCCACTGGTCCATTTGATAGCCTAGAAGAAAGCAGGGCATTTTATGAAACTTTAGAAGATACTAACTACCGCTTACAAAAAGAACTACTCGACAAACAAAAGGAGATGGAATCACTAAAGAAACTGCTTGATGAGAAGCAACTTCATATAGACACTTTAGAGAAAATATTCAGAACAATGTCTTTAGAACCTAAAGAATCACTGGACGTGTCAGAAACAGAAGGTGAACAGATCCTAAAGGTGGAGTTCTCTGCACTTGAGGTTGATCACGATGTCCTGGAAGAAGAATCTAGAACTGAAAATAAACCATGCTTAAGTTTTAGTGAACCTGAATATTCTGTATCAGAGATAGAAGTAGCAGAAGTGGCGTATGATGCTGAAGAAGACTAATATGCCACAAGCAGTCCCCTCCATTTAGACGATTCAGCAAATTTAAAAGAGTGGCAAATACTATCTTAAAAGAAAAAAACTGTAAAATATACAGAAAGAGCAAGAATGCACATGTATGAAGTTTACATAAAGAAGTTTTTTAAGTTATTGGGATAGGAAATGTATTCACTGCTGCTTTTAATTGTGTTTTGTCCAATTATATTTAATACATCAAAAAAAATCTTGTTAGAATTCTGTTATCAAGGCCCACATTCTTAAATACTGTGCATAAATTATTATGGTGTTTTGCCTATATGTTGCTCCAAACTGCTGTGTATATATTGTATGTGTGTGTTAAATCACCAATTATATTAATCAAATGGAAATTAATTGCTTGTTACTATCTGGGTGATAGATACTTCTTTATATCTCTGACATAACATTTTCATTAATGGTTTAAATCAGTGACCATCACAGTAAAGATAGAATTTAGTTGAGTTTTTACTGTTTACATGTTTACCATCTGTAAATAAAATTTGCTTATATGAAATGTTAATGCTAAGAAAAAAAAATTACTTTCTAGCACCAAAGGAAAACTACTTGAAAGGGCTGTGGTCATATAGCTAAAGTGATAAACTAGCCTTGATTTAAAAAGCTGATTCATTAATATCAAAATACTTCAATAAGTGTAATGGTTATTAATATGTTACATTTGTTTCGTTTCCACATAATCTTTGTGTCTACCTAGATTTAGTGAGTTCGCCTCTTTCAGAATACTACTTCTTTTTGTTAATCAAAGCATACTCTTTTGAAAATGTAGAGTCTAAATAAATAGGGTCTTATCCAAAAAAGAAAACAAAATAAAAAGCCATATATGCTGCAAAGTTCCTAAGTGGCTTGACTCCAGGCATTGCATTTTTATTTCTATGTATGTGAAGATGTTATTATACTGTATTATGGCTGATTTTCTTTTTAACATATTTAGCCAAGTGATGCACTTTATGATAATTAAACTCTTTTGTGCCAAGTTTCATTGTTGGATTTCTTTAGTAAGTAGAGTTAGGAGAAAGAATTATGTAGTGCCTTTACTATTTCACTTTCTACAAAAGTCTCCTAGGGTCTATGAGTCAGCTTTATGAAAAAATGTTTATTTCAGCTTTATGTACAGTCATT